TCCAAGTACAACGTAAAACTTTAAAGAGTTAAGAAATTCAGGCCTGGCGAGGCTGTTATATGGAGGACAGCTGGTTGTCCTCGTAACAAGATAGCAGCAAGCCTGTCGCTTGCATGGAAAACAGCTTGGCCCCTGGTAACATGCGACTGGGCTCAGTAACAGAAGTGCCTGACATCATAGCTGGGTCCGGTGTCACCCGGGGGCCCCTGGATATAACCTTCCAGACAGATGAGGCCACAAAGGTGTCAGGAGGCGTTACCTAGGAGACACTGTAAAACATCACCAGGTTCATGGGACAACAAGGGTCACCTGATACGAGTCATTTGTTCATTTAGTTCAGATTTTTAGCCAATAAAAATGAAATAGTAAGAAAAACAACCCCTTTAGTTAAAAAAAAAGAAATCTATTTGTGTCTTATTTTGTGTGTGTGTCAGGATAATACCCTGATCCTGCCATCCCACAGCACAGACAGAGAAATGAAATAGGCAGGAAGTGCTGCAAGACAGCCAAGAGACTGCACACGTAGGCATGCAAATGATATGCAAACATACACCGTCAGTTATAATCCTCTTTCAAAGATTACCGACATCTAATGTGCCATTTGCGCCCTTTCACAGCGTGAAACAGTCACGTGGACGCATGCACACACTGTATATGGGTGGGCCTGTCAGCACGCTAGTTAAAATAAACCTGTTTAGAAGTTTAAAAGATCCTCAAAGCAAATGGTGACAGGAAGAAATGTTACATAACAGCTCGAATAATCATTCATGTCGCAAACAAGATTAAAACATATTAATCTTTAAGTGTTGATTTGCTATTAACAACATGCAAAGTCTTTCTTCATTTTTAAATTATATGAAAAAGTCTCATTTTAGAGACAAAGAAAGGAAGAATTTCGATGTTTTATTATTACGTTTTTCGGTAAGTTTAGGTCTAAGCCAGCTGATTAGTGTTCAGTCTTGAGCTGCTCGGACTGTAAAATTTTCATGACTGTCACTTTTGACAGCTAGAAGGGGCGTTGGGGGTCTGACAAGCAATACTGCTCCAAGAGTTGCCTCAAAAGTCTCGCTTCAATCACACAGAAACATCTTGTTGCATTTTAATGCCGTGTCTTAGTTTGTTTTCCATCGCTGAGAGCATTGCCAGCCTACATTTGCCCAAAATGTCAGCACTTTTATGGCATGTGTTTGGGAATTCTTATAAAAGATTCAGTCTGGAGTCTGTTTGGACTGAATTAAACTGCACAGAACCACTTAAGCTTATTCGGACTGAACCTCCCCTATCTTCCTCTGACTGTGGCGGAATATTTTCCTTCTGGTTTGGCTGCGTGGAGCGCTACATCAGAGAGGATTTGGAGCAGCTAAAATAAGCCAAAAAAAACAAAAAACAAAAAAAACAACAACCACCTACTCCACGAGAGCAGCTAAAACCACTCATAAATGTTGGAAGATCTGCTTCGGAGCTGAGGCAGGGAGGGGCTGAGGGGGAGTTATAACATACAGTAGCAGAGGGAGGAGAAAGGAGAGAGGGGGTGGTTAGGAGAGAGGAAGGGAGGAGTGATGGGAGAGGATGAATACCTCTGCAAAGCAAAGCCCAGATCGCAGCAGAAGGAGATGAATGGCGCACAAAGACGCTCGCTTTTTAAAATTTCATATTATATGAGAGGAAAGCTGAAAAAATAAACACAATTTCTCTCTCCCCAGCTCTGTTCCACTCCACTCGCTCTCAGTTGTATAACAGGGCTTCTACCTCGGAGCTACATTGTCCTCACAAATCTCCTGCACGACTGTACCTTTTTCAAACGGCTCCAACCTGTTACGGCAAATTCACAGCCACTGAGCAGCAAAAACCCCCTCTAGATTCCTCCTGAGCCGCTGCAGTGAAGGATTGGCCCTCTAAAGAATTTCCACTACAAAGTAAGACAGCACAGGACGCTTCAGGATACTTTAAAATCTCTCCTTTCATCCATTTATGAAGTGGAGTTAATTTTTCCCAGAGATTAGGATTATGCTGTGGGATGGAGCAGAGAGGATAACAGAACAGGAAGAGGGGAGAGTTCACACTCTGGTATTTTTTTAATATGAAGCCACATGCCTTCACTTTCGGAGTGTTTTTTGGATCAGAATGCAAAATGGGGCCGTGTCCTGATTGAGGGAGGTTATGTTCTGTCTGGCTGGAAAAAAAAGAAAAAGAAAAAGAAAAGAGGCCATTTCTAGTCTGCATTCTCAGAATTATATGACGTCCAGAGATTTAAACTGTGTCATAAAATATTTAAATGCTAACGAAAAACAAACTGTGAAAAAGTAAAGTAAGGTGAATTAATGTTTAAATATTCATTTTCAGCCCAGACGTTTGGCATGAGCACACATGCCGGTATAAAATCGAGGTAAGATACAAAAATCTCTGTGATGAATCAGGATTCAATTCAATTATTGCTCTATTATCTTCCATTAGGACTGAAAAATGAATTGTTTTTAAACACTTCTGAAAGTGCTTTGACTGTAATTTAGCATGATCTCTTTTGGAAACCAGGCTTATTGACTTTCTTGTTGACTTGAAGATCTGTAGCACTTTTAAATCTGTGTGTTAAATGTGAAGATATGGCAGCCAGCTAGCTTAGCTTAGCATAGCTTAGCTTTACAACATGACTGAAAAGCAGAGAGGAGAGATAAGCAACAAGACACAAAGGCAACAAAATCAACTCATCATCGCCTCTGAGTTCACAAAAATGTGTTAAATCTTCTATAGAAACTTGACTGGTCTAGTTGATCATCAGCAAGAATTTACAGCCTCAACTTATCAGACAGGTCTTTAACATGTGACGATAAGGTGATGGCTGCTATAGTGCATGCTGGCTCTCTATCACACTGTCACTGAATACAGCAGCACTTATTTATATATATACACGATCAAGATAAGCATGTGATTATGCTCAATAAATACCTATGTTGTGTAAATCCCTCTACACATACGACTCTGGATTTAAATTTATACAAATCATCGCAGTTTAGATTTAATATAGCAGAAGAATTGCAACCAAATTGCCTTTTTCTCAAACGATCCAGCCCTTCTTTTTATTCATTTATGATTAATTAGACTAAAGTTCACTCTCTGTCTGCCTGTCTGGTGGCGAGGCTGTTACTTCCTAGATTCTGCCTTCACTAAAAGTCATTTATACTTAGTTTAAAAGAGAATAAAACATCACTTTATGGGAATTCATAAAACATCTTCTAAACCCCTCCTTTCTCACTTCAAACTTCATATTTTATCAGCAATGAGATACAGAGGCCCCGAGGAAAGTCAAGTTGCTTTAGAGGGATGATATGACTGTCATTAAACTGTGTGCCTGTGGATTTTTTTTATTTTATTTTTTATTTTTTTAAACAATGTAGACCGTCCAATAAAACTGCTATTTCACCGAGTTTCATCACTTTCAGAGCCAGACGGCCAATATGTGTGGTGAAAGGGGAATGAAGTCTTGATTAGGAAGAGAAAGAGAGAAAATGAGAAAGAGGGGAAATGTAGAGGAAAAACAGATGGACTGACAGAGAGGGAAGATACAAGGAGGCGAGCGGGCGAGACGTGGTGTAACAAAAGGCGGTCGCACGCTGAGAAATTGATGTTAATAATATGCAGATGATGCAAGTGATGAAATCTGCTGGTGAAGCAAAGAGCGTTGTCAGAGAAGTTAAATTGCTGCGTCTGTTTCTGGAGTTTTAGACGGAGCAGTTTTCTTAATATCACGCTTTGCTGCTGCTTAGCACAGACACACAAGCATATGGCCGCACACACACATTCACACACACACAGATAAAGGCAAAAGTCGTGCTGATAAGCCATTGGATGGAAACAAAGTCAGCCACTGTAACGAGACACTGTGGGAATACAGAGCAGTGTCGAGAGACTTGAAGTGAAAGGGGATGAGAGAGATAAAGAGACTTAAGTGGGAGAGAGAGAGAGAGAGAATGGCAGACTGGAAGGAGGGACAGACAGACAGACAGACGTGAGCTCCCACAGACACAGAAACAAATAAAAGGATGAATGAAAAGGCCCCGAATTTAGAGAAGCAAACAAAGAAAAGACAGGGAAAGGAGGGAAAAGTGAAAGATGGAAAACCAAAGAGCCAGAGAGGAAGGATATAACCGGAGAAAGAAACAGAGATAATGAGTGGAAATGATGAGACGACGGTAGTCTGCAGGAAAACAAAGTGAAATAAAATAGAGGGGATTTCCCTTCACGAGTGTCTGCAAAGAGACAGCTGCAGGAGGCGCACAGATGGAAAAAACAAAGACTGACACATTTGCTCATGAACACACGAGTATAGCTTTGTGACGAAGCAGAATAGACTGAAATAGCGGGCAGAATCAGCTGCACACACACACACACACACAACTGAGGAAGTTGTATTATCTGAGCAACATTTCGATTCTGCTTTCAAAGCCTGAGGCAGAGTGTTTGCGTGATTTGTTAGTTTTCCCAGTAGAAATCTACTCCAGGATGCATAAACAAAGAGATTATTTTTAATCAATATTCAGATTCTCTGTGCAATGTCTTAAAGTTGAAACATGCACGAAAGCGTGGCACAAAATCGTGGAAATGAAAGTTTCCGGAGTATCTCCAGCATTGAAAGAGCATAGCAAAAACCGCCGCTGGCATTGGCAGGTGTTTTAATAGGGCTGAGCTGCTGTTTCCTCTCTCTAACAGACTTTTTTGGGGGGCTGCTTTCCTTTCTTTTTTTCCATACACTTTTGAATCTTTAGCCAGTAGAGTTTCCTGTTTCAGTTATTCCATCTCTTCCAACATGGAGCTCATGACACAAACTGTGTGGATTGAGAGACTGTTCCACAGACTGTCACTGTGGGTTGACCGTGTGTCTTGCAAAATGATTATTTGGTTGGATTTCTAATTATAATTACGGTCATAATTTCCACTTTCTGTCCAATCTCAAATGTTAATTCACATGAAGAACTAAACGATGATGTGTTTCTCTCCTCCTCCAGTCTTCCTCTGTGTCCTCTGCCTCCTGGCTGTGCTGCTGCCGCCGGCCTCCTCCTGCCCTCCTCCCTGCCTCTGCTCCTCAGACAGCCCGGTGGTGGACTGCGGGGGCCGGGGTCTCTCCTCCCTGCCTCCCCTGCACCTCCTGCCTCCAGGGAGTCGCTCCCTCCTGCTAGCCAACAACAAGCTCGCCTCACTGGGAGCGTCTGCCTTCGCCAACCTCTCCTCTCTGGAGGTCTGCAGCCTATTGTTTTATTGTTGATTGCTGAACATGTTGTGGGTTGTTGTTACGTTGTTTGTTCATCATGGTGTTTCCTGCATTGACCTCGCGCTCTGAAATACCCCTAGGGCAGTAAGTGGTACTGTTTGGCGAGTCTAATATTGAACAAACTGCGGGCAACCTCTGCTCTCAGTCTGAAAAGTTAAGAAAAGTTGACATTTTCAAGGTTTCGCAGGGCTGCTCAGCATTTGCATATTGTGTGCTGGGCTCGGCCGAGCTGGTATTTAAAATATTGCAGATAAAAAATGACGGATAGTTTCCTGTGCAGCCTCATTAGTTACAACATCTGGTTGCTCTTTACTTCCAGTATTAAATACCACAACGGGTACTTAGCAGATACAATGGATTGGGTAACCTTTGTGATTTATGTATATTTTCACGGCTACTCCACCAAAACACTCACTGTGAGGAGCTCCAAATAGAAGTGTCGGCTTAAAATGTTCAACAAGAACACAAGGAAACTGTATAAAATGCAAACATCTAAGTAGTTGAGAATGTATTCTTTGTGTATTTTTAGGAGCTGGACCTCTCTAATAACTACCTGGATAATTTACCAGCGGGATTATTCAGAGACATGTCCAACCTGACGAGACTGACTCTGCACAACAACTCACTAACAGTAATGGACAGAGACCTCTTCCAGGTAGGTATCGTGCACATTACATAGCACCACACCTGGTAAAACCTATGAAGAAGAGGCATTATTCCAGCTATGAACGTCATGTACTGTGTAAAGTCTAAGGTCAGATCAGCTAATCGTGAATAAAGACAGAAACTGACACCAATAACGACACCGGTTCAGCTCCTAGGTTACCGTGTTCAGTGAAGCAAACCTGAGCAGATATACTGACATGACTGGGCTCCCATCCAGGTGGTAAATTAGTAATAAACCATTTGCTCAACACTTTGATGCACTTTTATCTGAACCAAAACGGTCAGATAAGCTTGTGTCACGACTTCAGTCGGGATTGCAAATTAGACAACATTCCCCCCATCAGCTGATGCTCGGTGACTGACCGTGCCTTGTGGGAACAATGAGAAAAGCTGGTGGGTTTGTCAAAAAGTCGTGCAAACAAAAACCTGGCTGTGATGTTTTTTTTTTTACAGGGTTTGGGTGGTCTTCAGAGTCTGGACCTGTCATTGAACGGTCTGTCCTCGGTTCCTCTGGGCGTGCTGGACGAGCTGCAGAGCCTCAGGTAGACACACACCAAAACACACAGTTTTGCAGACATATTTTATCCAGTGCTAACCCCGACAGCAACGCTACAGAGAGATCACGTTTGGTTATTCCATCTCAAATCGTTAGGAGCCTCCTGGTTGACCATCTCTGATTTGCATGAAATCTTTTATTACTAACTATAGATGGTTTAAAAGGTATCTGTAAAATTTTTGATTTATATGTCAACTACTTTCTGAGATCATTTGTGGTTTTTAAAAAAAAAAATTGTAGACCAACTATAAGGACATGTTTTTGCACATTAAGATTTGAAGCTACGTTTGAACGACAATATCTCAGGAACTATGAAAGATAAAAACATGTCATGTTCACAGTTTTTTATCATCATGCTATTGGTTCAGAATCTGCAGGGGGATACTAGAAAGCTAAATAATCACTAAATTATGGGTGAGTTGAAATATGAAAAAATAAATTGACGCTGTAATGAAATGTCCCATCTTTGAGAACACATTGACAAAGAAATTGAAAATGTAAAAGTCAACTGGAGATATTTTCTGAACCACGTCTAGTTTTATGTCACAATAATACAAAAAAACCCCCAAAAACATACAGAATAGTTTTTGATATGAAATAGTCACAAAAACGAAAACAAAGTGATTTCCGTTGAACTTTCATTACTCCTTCACCGATTATGACAAGTTGTACTACAAAAACAAACATTTTGTTATACTGCCTGATCCAAGTGGAACAGAGTTATGGAGTTTCAAAACGGTTCTAAAGTGGGTTTGATGAGAAATAACAGTGAAGATTTCAGGCTTTTACCTTCAATAGTTCTTGAAATGTTTCAGTTTAGAGTCAAATGTCAATGAGTGAAAAAATATGCAGAAAGTGAGTCAACAGACAAATAACAAAAAAAAATCTCAGGACGTATTCAATATTCATAAATTCACACATATTTCAATAAATATTTCAGGCAAATCGGAGACGGTTGAGCAGAAATTGTTCCCATAATGAAGAGCAAAATAATCCTAAAATGAGAAGGTGAAAGTTCAGAGGTCAGATTGATTGATATTTCGGGCACAGAATGACTAGGACATAAAATTGTGGAAAAATAACTCCACAATGAGAGATAAGGAATTTTTTTTTAGAGTGAGTCAGAATGAGTGTAACTTCATAGCAAGAGGGTGAAAACGTTTGAAGGCAGACCACCTAGAATGACAGATGGCCATTTAACTAGTTATCTTGTGCATGCTAAAACATACAAACTTACTGTATTTATTTTTGTTTAATAGCTTGGACCCCATCGTTTTATAATATGAGAGCAGAACACGATTATTTCCTCTTGATGTGATTCTACTGATTATTACTATCATCATGTTTTGAAGGTGGCTGTCTCTAGCGGGTAACAGGCTTCATGGTTTGGAGAGGGCAGCGTTTGAGCCACTAGCCAACCTGCAACACCTGGAACTGGGACACAACCCGTGGGAATGTGACTGCAACCTCCGCGACTTCAAACACTGGATGGAGTGGCTGCTGTACAGAGGTGGATGTTTGATTTATGTTGCCGAGAACTTTGAAAAGCTTGATTTAAATTGAGAAACAGGACAAGAGGACAAAGGAAGTCACGAAGGAGTGGGTGGAAACTGGAGAGTACTAGTTCACCGGAGAGACAAACGTGGCTGGGTGTTTGTTTCGACTCGTGCATGCCTGCGCTTCTGCATCAGTGTGTTAATGCAGATTACCGCGCTCATTGTGCGCCTCTGTGTACTGTATCCACGAGTCTCTGCAGGCTGTTAGTACATCAGATAACACAGCTGCTCTCCGCTCTCTCCTCATGTGTAAAAATCCACATTCACCTCAGCGCCGTGGGCCTCAGCTGCCCCGCTAATGAAGCATCTCCTCTCTTTTCTGCTCTATTCTCCTCCCTGCTTCGCTCTGCTCTCTTCTGCTTTGCCGGGCTCTACTCCAGCTCAGTTCAGCGCACTTCAGACGGAGAGAGTGACACACGGCGGACATGATAATTTAATAATCGTGAGAGCGGCAGAGAAAATTACAAGGAGGCATTTCATAGCTGAACATGAAATCCTGACTGTAGCTGTTAAGGGGGGCAGATGATGCACGATATGTTTTGGAGAAAGTAAGACAAAGCACCGAACAAGTGTGAGAAGCTCGGCGCCGGCGGCGGCCCGTGTTGTCTTCGAGCACACACAGCTGTGATATTTGGAGATATTTGGAGAGAAAGCTGTGTTTGCAAAAGGGGATTCTTTTGTGGCACGCTGAGATAAAAGCATCTGGGGGCTAAATAGCACTGTACTGTCTTTCTGTTATCCTGCGCCTTTATCTCGCTGCTTCTGTCACTTCACCTATCTCGTGGTGCAGATCAATGGCTTTCTAACATGCTACCTTGAGACAAATCCTATGTTTGGAGACACATGCAACACGTGACGATAACAAAGCAGATCCTCCCCACCCTCCTGCCGCCTGTGGGAATTAGTGACTCAGATATTTCTCTCTTCCACACACACTCGAGCTGTGCTAAAGCTAGGCATGTCATCTCATGAATTATAGAGGGGACTTAGTTGAGGCTATCTCCAACTTGGTGTAGAGGGCACAGCAAACTGTGTGTGTGTTAAGTGATGTATGACTCATCCCAGTGTTGGCACAACTGCCCCACTCTCTGTCTTTTTCCTCTCTTTCAGTTAATTGGAAGTGCTTTACAGGCATAAGGCATTTATGAAATGACCTCTCCCTGTCCTCCTGTCTCTGTACTGTCTTCTCTCTCCGTCAGGGGGGAAGGTGGATGCGGTGGAGTGCACGCTACCCAAGGATCTGCGTGGGCGAGACATCCGCGGCGTTCCGGTGGAAATGTTCAACTACTGCCTCCAACTTGAAGATGAGAACGGAGGAGGAGGAGGAGAGGGTTCTCGTTCTGGACAAGGGGGCGGCCCTCCCTGCAGCAGGAGTGCTCTGAATCCTAGCGGGGAGACGCCGATTTCTGACAACAGCGGTGGCACTGCTGATGACTCCTCTTCGAACGGCGGAGGCGGCGGAGGCGGCGAGGCCCCGTCAGAATGCGTCCGGGCCCGCTACCGACCTGTGAGCGTGCGGCGCGCCATTGGCACGGTGGTGATCGCCGGCGTGGTGTGCGGCATCGTTTGCATCATGATGGTCGCCGCCGCCGCTTACGGCTGCATCTACGCCTCCCTGATGGCCAAGTACCAGAGAGAGCTCAAGAAGAGGCAGCCGCTGATGGGGGACGGAGAGGCTGACGGGGAGGACAGGGAGGAGAAGCAGATCTCCTCTGTGGCCTAAAAAGAGCGACGGGTCAGGGGAGGGTTGGCGTGTCAAAGGGTGAAGGTTGGAAGGGGTGAAAATTAAAAGGGCTCAAAGAGGAGAGAGATGGAGGAGCTGGTTTTATACACACAGATAGTTATATTATCTCTCCCTCTCACTCTCAAACTGACACCTCTCTCCCAGTTTTTGTCTTCCTTTCTTCGTCCTTACTCTATTTTTAACCCTCCCTGTCCCTCTCTCTAACGTACTCTCTCACACACATACCTTATCTGCTCCCTGATTTTCTCTTCCATTTGGACCCATTCTAGCTGCAGTATTTGTTACCAATCATCCCTCCAACTCGCCTACCAGCCACCTACTGCTGCTGAATTTACCATTATATTGGCTGGGAGGAAGAAAAAAAAAAAAAAAGATTTGGTACTCTCTCTCTCTCTGGTATGAAACATATCATTTGTGCTCTTACAGAACACTCATGGTGTTTAGTCAGTCAGTATTTGTAAGCCTAGACTGAAATTTCAGGGATTCATAGCATGTATGACGTTGATTGGACCAATATTCACGATAATAATAAGACGTTGTGGTCGTAGGTAGTGCCCAGTTCTTGTTTTAGTTCCATCTTTCTCCTTTTCAACCTCTCCAAAGCCAGTAGTTCCTCTAAGAAACAGGACCCCAGCCCAGATTCCTTCACCCTCTTCTGGCCTAATCCTCCTCTGATTTTTCCTTGAAGCCCCCTCAGGAAATTGGGGGGAAATGGAAGAAACTTGATGGAAACTCAAACAGAGATGCGATTTATACACTCAAAGCCTCTCTGCTGTGTTGTAACAGAGAGAACACTGATGCATCAAGTGTTGATGGAAAAATCAAGGACACTGAGTCTCCTGTATCCTCATGAATGGAAAGTGTTTCGATTGACAACATGATCTAGCCACTGATCACCAGACGTTGTGGGCCCTAACCCCCTACTTGGACCAGATCTCACTTTTCCTCTGGATCTCCTGCGGACTAAATAGATCCTCAAAGCGTCCCACGCTGGAGCTGCGCATTAGATTCTACAATGGATCTTATCAATCAGCCCAAGCCATTTTATTGAACTTGCTGTGTTTGTCTTCTTCAGAAAAAGCCTCTTGCTAACTCGATGCTTGTTAAATGGTTATGATCAATGTCTGGACGGATCAGAAAACCTCTTATCATGGCGAGAAAAAGCGGTCAAATTAATTTTCTGTTGGACTTCTGGATCAGATTTTACTGAGATTCAAAGGACGCTGATTTAAAGCAAATATTCTTTGTTCAGAACTCATTTTCGGACTGATTTCACCCCCTCAGTGGTGAATGTTTGCTACAACGGCACGAAGAAAAAAAAAAAAAAACTATCTCAGAGAACCATGTCTCCTGGCAAGGACTTCAAAATCTCATCTAAGGACTATAAACTTCAGACTCCTGCACTTTATTTCCCTAATCAGATCCCCTCTTGCCTCTCTCTCTCTCTCCCTCCTCCCCTCCTTCTCTTCCTTTCTAAGATGGACGGATTGCCCAGAGGGATTATAAATAAAGAGGGATTAAACAACCAAAAAAAAAAAAAAGGAAAACGCTGCTATTTCTCCCCGTCCTCTTTTCATCCCTTTATCGCTCTATCCATCTTTCCATCCAGTGCTATTTGTGGAAAGTTTTTTCACACTCCTCGAAGATTTCCACCTCCATCGTTTCCTTTCATTCATCCTCCCATATTGTTGTCTTGTTTTTCTCAAAAGGTCTGCAATATGCAATGGAAGTTAAGTCACCATAACATGAACATTTTCTCACTGACAAACAGTCTTTCTGTTTGAAATCCTCACGTACTTCAGAGGAATCTGCTTGATTGACACGTGAATTCACCAAAACAAAAAGAAAAAAAAAAAGGTTTGTTTGTTTGCTTTACATTGTGTTTTCATCTGTATCCTTAATTACGTCCTGGGATTTTCATGTAAACATTTTACGGATGGCAGAGCAGGACAGTGATTTAAGCAGCATTCATTGCATATTGCCCCCCACCCCCTAAAGTAAAACTATTGCTCCCTCTCAATTTTTGATTGGCTGGAAATCAACCTATATTACTAGTGTGTTATGTTCAACCTGGGTATGATGCAGATAAATATTATTATACTAGTCTACTGTGGTGTGTTGGCCCAGCGATCCCCAAATGTTTATGGTTTCCTGTATCGATTTCATGATGTACGTCTTTTGTTGTGTTAATGGATTTCTATGTTTTGTTTTAGGCTTTAATATCTCTGTAATGTTTCTTTGTCGTGTCCATTTATTTGTGTTCAGTAGTCGGTAAAGTTTCTGTAAGAAGCATAGAGAGAGTTTGGGAGAGTGTGTGAAATACTGCCTCATCTCTGAGATTTATCTGGGTGGTATTTCTTGACATGCACAAGATGAAAGGTAACACTGAGTGTGATTTTACCTCCTACAAATAATTATTCATCTTATTTGATGTTGGGTTCCTACATTTTTTAAATGGTTAAATATCCAAATACGATAACTACTAAGATGTGGCAACTAAACCGAGCAGGAAAAGGTTGCATTCAGGCCATAGCTAAATAATGCAAATCTCTTTAGAGAAATGAGTGCTGAAGATACGGTTTTATCCACTACCCTGGCCTCTACACATTTACATTACATTAAGCTACGTCTTGCATCAGCAGGGAAAACCTTGAATACCTGCATACAAATGTAATTTGTAAGAGACCGGGCTGGTTGGATTTATCACACGAAAAATCAGGATGCACAAAAGCCGAATAATCACTAATGTAAAGAGATGTCAAGCAAGTAAAAGTAGTTTCCATATAAGCTTTGTACTTGGTGTCTTCCAGGTATGCATGAACATACGCTGAATTTAAAGCATAACTTATCCTTGAACTTCAGAGACTCTGAGGCAGTACGTGAGGCTAAACTCTGTCTATGAATCTGGAAACGTTGTCCTCTCACCACCTCCTGGTCTGCAGGTCTTGTGTTGTTGGTAGCTAAGTATCTTAGCTAGCTCAGTCCTGTTTCCTATAGCCTGTGTGTGTAAAGACTAATAAATTATAGTTTGCTACGTAAAAACTGCAGCAGCCATGATGACTGAGGGGCCTCTGAGACTGCACAGCTCGGGAAACGACGGTGTGTTGTGTTATCATGACGACTGTGATTATGATGATGATGATGATGATATGATGATGGTGATGAAGCATTTCCTGGTCAATATGCATTGATTTAAATAAAAAACATATCACACCAATGTCAAATTTACATCCAGACCAATGAGAAGGTTTGAAAAACTACAACAAGTACTTATTTGATGAAATTTGCAGATTTAAAAAACGTCTTTGAGGGTTTTTTTGCATCTAAAAAAAGAAGTGGAGGAATCTGTTTTATGTGTGAAGGAGAAAGTCAGAAATGGAATAAAGAGTCATAAATCAGTCATGATAACAGACCTTCTGTTATCTCATTTTTTCTGTCCCTTACCTCCTATCTTTTCCCATTTTTCTTCACTTCTCTCCTTCCCTTCCTCTCTCACTTATCTGTTTCCTCTTCTCCCATTATTTCACCTTCCT